TATATTTAAAATATTGCCAAGTAACATTGCAAACAACAATAAAATCTCTGTGCCCCCTCACTTTGAATTGGCATGACGCCTCTGGTGGGGAGATGGGGGATTCCCCCGCACTATATGTCTCTGCATCGACTGAATGATTAATTAATTCATTAATTAATTCATTCATTCATTTTTATTCCCAGTGAATGGGAGTTAAAACTCCCACCAGGGTGACACTACTCCAATAATAGACCAAGCAAAACACACACACAAAAAAACAACAATTGAAATTAAATAAATAAACAAAATAATAATAATATATTTATTATATAATATCTATAAATATTGCCAAGTAACGTTGCAAACAACAATAAAATCAGAAAAGGACTTTAATTGTAAGCGACACAAGTATACGGAAAATATACAGTTATGATGTTTTTTTTTCATATGATTTAGTCGAGTTTCGGCAATCGAGATCTGACAGCAACAGCGCATTTTTCCGCTCGTTCCCTACTCAGGGAACCATGGTTACATAAGTAACCTGAGACGTTTACCTCGCGCATGAAATCTCCCACAGACCAGCAAATCACTGAGAACGCGCTATAATCCTGAAGAGCATAGTTGCCAAAGTCCGCGTATTATACGCGACTTTGGGCTTCTTTTTTTTTTTTTTTTTTTTAGTTTGCTTGAAAATATCCCAGGTCGCGGGTTGCGGTTTTTTGGTCTTATTTTAAAAAATATGATTGCTTGTTAGGGATATCTGACAAGCAACTTGGTTTCTTTACTTATGTTCGCCGTATTCTCCAATGCATTGAATGACACTCTGTCTGCTCACAGGTTTAGCCAACCAGTGCAATATTATATATACTGCAGCGTAATTTGCCAAATGTTCCGCCCCCTCCTCCCCCTCATTGGAGAAAATCACGTTCAAAAAGAAGGCGCGTGACGCTGTAATCCAAGCGATGACAGAAGTAGACGTAGAGCAGTGGGATGACTTTCTTTTAGCCTATTTTTTTTTTTTTTACAGTGTTTTTGTAATGTATTAATTATCACGTGCTGTAATAAAAAAACAAGTAGTCCTATACTAATACTAAGAGTAAATATGGTTCGAATAGCCTATATTTTAGTAGGCTATAAATACATGGCTATGTTACAGCTCCTCTTTGAAGCTCTTGTGTTTTTCTCCTTTTCCATCTCTCCAATCCTATTCTGCACACAGGTGATTGGAGATCAGTTTTGTTCCCATTTTTGTTGCAGTTTGCTGATTTTTGTAAAATAGCTTCTGTTTTTGCTTTTCAGATAAAAGTGTGGTTCAGTTTAATATGTTGCAGGCTCATTTATTGGTAATAAATAATTGATAAATAATATTGATGATAAATCATAAAAAAAATTGGGCTTGTTTTGGGCTTGTTTTTGAAGCAGCGGTTGCTTATTTGTCTCGCGAGAGTTGGCAACAGTGCTGAAGAGTCATAGAGCGGAGGCGAGAAAGCTGCGGAGAACCGCAACTGACTTAGATTTACAGAAAATTACCGTTGTTTTCAAATAAATAATTTTACATGCTTATTCCCAACACTTTATTAAGCTTTAAGTCACATCTCAAAGGACAAGGGATCAACTTATAATCATGTTTATTAACCCGTGAACTCATACTCTCAGACGGCCTGCGTGTGCGGCGCATTCGCAGCTTATATGGACGGAACGCCACTGCTAGAAAATAGTATGTGTATAGTTTTAGTTTCAAAACCTGTGCATTGTCATCAAATTTTGTGTAATCTGGCTAGTCAATAAAAACCAGAAGTTGATGAGGTAAAAGGGAAATTCGTCAGCTCTCATTTTGTCAACAGCCTAGAGCAGGGTTCCTCAAATCTTGCCCTGGAGGGCCAATGCGCTGCAGAGTTTAGCTCCAACCCTGATCAAACTCAGCTACCTGTGATTTTCTAATGATCCTGAAGACATTGATTAGCATGCTCAGGTGTGTTTGATTAGGGTTAGAGCTAAACTCTGCAGGAAAGTGGATCTCGTGGGCCAGATTTGAGGGTCCCTGGCCTAGAGCCTACAGTATAGCCTACCTGTAATTGTTGTTACAGTTACAGGAAAACTATTGGTTGAAGTGCCACAACCCATCCTGTGGGTAAATGATCTCAAATACCACTGAACTCTTTCTTTTTCCCCTTATGTATGTATGTAAACAGCACAGAAGACAGCACTGATTGTTTATGCCCACCAGAGTCCCGCCTCATTCAACGCTGCTGCACGGGATGTAGCGGTTCAGGTTCTGACAAAGCAAGGCTATAAAGTCCTAGTGTCGGATCTATATGCTATGAACTTCAAAGCCTCAGCAACTGCAGAGGATATTAAGGGTAGGAATTTGCTGAAAATACAAAGTGCACCTACATTAAAATGCTACTATGGCTATAGGTTCTTAAAAGCGCACTGCAGTTGCAATTATTAGTGAACACAGGACCACTGTTTTACTGTAAATATTGCAGGTGATCTGAAGAATCCTGAGCACTTTATATACAATGATGAGATGATGGTTGCATGGCAAGACGGTCGTTTAAGTGATGACATTGCAGAAGAACAGCATAAATTGGAGCAGGCAGAGCTGGTTATCTTTCAGGTAATAGTTTCCCAGTGCTGCACAGTTACAAATGTCAGAGTTTACATTTTACTTTGATCTGAGAAAATAATATGATTTGGATAATATTTACAGTTCCCCCTCTACTGGTTTAGTATACCTGCCATCATGAAGGGCTGGATAGACAGAGTCTTAACTCAAGGATTTGCCTTCACCCTGCAGAAGATGTATGACAATGGCATTTTCAAGGTCTGAATCTTTAGAGTCAAAGCTTGTTTTGCTTGCTTGACATTGCGGATTACAAGGAAAGAGTCTGTTTTTGTCATTCTAATGGTGATCAGATTTTAATCAGATTAAAATGTCATTCACTATTCACACCAGGCTAAGAAGGCCATACTTTCATTCACCACTGGGGGAACAGAGTCCATGTTTAAGCCCGATGGCGTCCATGGAGACATCAATGTTCCCCTCTGGCCTTTACAGGTGAGATAAAAATATGAAACAGAATTTTTGTTTGATCTTTTTAAATATAGAGGGCTAGTTATTCAAATGAAGCTGCAAGAACAGCTCTTTGTGCACTTGGAATCATGCTGTATTAAGTGATCAGAGTTGAATTCCAGATTAAATCCATAGGGAATGTGGGTTGTCACCTATTTTAGACTTTAACCCAGAGAACTTTATTTGTACTTTTTTGGATTCAACTTTGCATGTTAATGTTAAAAATTACATTATGCACTACGCATATACTTAACTGTATAGTGTATGAATTTTATAATGTTATTTTGTCATTCGGCATTGGATTCTGATAGCCCTTCCCCTCCGCTGTGTAATTAAAGCTCAGTCAGTTGAGTGCATGAAGTGTCCAACATTCCACACTTCATTTTCTTGGTTAATTAAGTGCATCATCTGTGTATTTAAACTGCACTTTTTTATGCTACAAAATGGAATAGTGCATAATTGGGATGCACCTAATGCACTTTACAAAGAGGCTGTTTAATGACGTGGCAAATGTTTATGATATGGCATACCATTTTTAACTTGTAAAATAATAAAACTTATACCAGTTGAAATGAAGATTATAAACAGATTATGTGTTTTTATTACAGAATGGAGTGCTGCGTTTCTGCGGGTTTCAGGTCCTCGCCCCCCAAATCTTCTGGTGTCCAGCACACACACCTCCAGATGCCAGAAATGCCATCTTAGAGGCATGGAGGGAAAGGCTGAATGGTGTTTTTGCCGAAAAGCCTCTTTCATTTGCTCCGACCGAATACTTTGACCTTTCCTTCCAGGGAGGATTTTGCCTTCGGCCAGAGGTGAAAGAGAAGTATGCCTCTGAGTCCTATGGCATAACCACGGCACAGCATTTAGGCAAACCTCTTCCTCCAGACAACCAGACCAAAGCTAAGCAAAGCTAAAAGATCCAGTCGCACAAGATAATCATTCAAGGATTTAATTCTAGGAATTTTTAGCAGAATGAAGGAGTTTTAGGTGCAAATTTAGGTATCAAATTCTTTAATGATACTGTTTTGTGAATGTGGATGTTTTATATATATATATATATATATATATATATATATATGGAGATTAAATTTTGTGAATTTTAATGAGTTTAACTCGTACTCATGTTTTACTCGTGTTCAAGATGCATTTTCGATTTTAATTATAATCAAAATACAAAAAATAAATATATGACACTACTACTTTTTTGTATGTCTTCCCTTGTTCATCTCAATCTCAAGTTTTTTTTATTATTATTATTATTTATTCTTTGTATAAATACATTTATTCTTTTTAAGTAATTGAAGTAGCAACTGTTAGGTAATAAGTGAACACAACAAAAACACACTAGATTCATGCTAGAGCCAACTATTAAAATTAAGGTACATTTTAACCATACGATTGAACTGTGTGCACGAGATATACATACATACATACACGTACATATACATATTAAAATCAAATAAATATAAAGTTCACAAGCTTTCAAAGTTCTTACAGCTTTCTTATTCAAAGAGTCTCTGATATATGGATTATGGATTCAATATATAGATTGAACTGTGTTCCTGGGACAGAGATGGTTACATATGTTTATGCTGTATTTTTAAACAATTCGTTAATTACCTTTTTTAACGTTTCTGCAATTCTTTGCGTTTTATTTCGCAAATCATAATGTAATCAGTGCTGCAGGTTTACTGTGACAACGTGCCCCGCTAATGAGTCTATATCTTTCTTCTTAGGATAATTATGGAAAGGTTCAACAGCTTTATCTGTATGTGGCTACACAGAAATTGACTTTTAAAAAATAAAATTACTCGGAGAAACATTTATTGGAATTAAAGTGACAACTTGCCCCGGTCTCCCTTACGTGCTTACGCACACTGATAGCAAAGCGTCGCGACGCGAATAGGTCATTTAGATGCGCCAGCGCGTCATTTGCTGCAACGCAATCCCGGCCATCGCAATCCTATTCCCGGCGTCATGTACAGTTATTCCTCCATATCAGCCGTTTGACCTACTGAACGGAAGTTGAAGAGCTGCTGCTGATATTATGGACGGAATTCCAAAATGAACTGAAGTTAATTTATTTGAAAAGAAGCGCTGCGCGGTATGTGTTGCGTCTTTTATAACGTTACATATTGCTTTATGTGTTAAAATGGCTCATTCGTGGTGAATCGGCAGTGCAAGAGCTGTTGATGTCATGCATCAGTTATGCACGGACATAATTTTCTTTAAGCAATAGCCTGACTTTATTCTTCACTATTCTAAACTCACTTTATTGTTCTAAAATTAGCCAGAAATAGGAATCCTATTGGAATTTCCATAACGAGGTGGAATTTATTGTTAATTTTTTCCAGCATGCATAAAACGAGACCTTTTAAAACACATTTCCCAGTAGATCTATTAAAATTGCTAATGGAATAAATGCTCTTTTATGACATCAAAATAAATATAAAAAATGTAAATGTAGAAAAATCTTTCAGAATTTTAAAATACTTAAAGTTCGCTGTATAGTTTACTTTTATTGCCCAATAGCAAGACCGTATCCCAGTAGTAGATCTGATAAAGATGGTACAGTATCCAATCAGACTTAAAATAAATTGTATAATAGTAAAAATAAATGCATAAATAAATAAAAACATTCCTTCAGATTCCTTCATAATTTTTAAACTGATAACAGTTTTTTGTAAATTTTTTTTGAACATTAAAAGTTCCTGCTGTATGACAGATGCATTTCTAAAAGTACAAATATTCACATCTAGTCTCTAAATTAATATGAGGTTATGAAACGGCATGCATAATAATTATAAGAATCAACCAAATTCTATTTAAATTCATTTTTCATTCATTCATTAATTTGGAGTAAATTAATTCATTGGAGTATAGCAAGATGTGTCCGCGTCCCAAAAGTATTTTTTGTCAATTCTAAATCATTTGTTTGCATAAAGAGTTTTAAATCCTTATGTGTAAAATCTTTTTAAACTTACTGTTTTTATGTGCTGTTGAATCAGGAAGTGGAGGTATGTTTTTCTCTTCAGGTGCGCAGCATTGGTGGACAAGGGCGTGGATGTAGCAATGGTGCTGGATCTGGGTGAGAACTGCATGGAGCAGGCTAATGGAGGAGGGCTCGCAAAGAATGTCTCAGAAATGTTAGAACCAGAGCCCAGCACAGAGAAACCCAAACCAGTCAGAGCCAGGACCAGCAGTATCACCCAAAGAGACAAATCGACCCACAATGGGCCTCACACGCAGCCTTGTACCACTTGGGATGGCTGCTCCCAGGTTCAACGAAGACTCCAGAAGACAGAAGGTAGAAATAAAGGAGAATCTGCGCAGCCAAGGGAACCTTCCAAACCGCCACCTTGTCGAAGGCCACTTAGTCTGGAAATAAAACCACAGCGAATTAGAGCAACGCAGCCAGTGCAGAAGGTGATGCAGCCACCGTGGCGTAGTGGTGGCCCTTCTCCACCCATGCGAAGCTTGACAAGCCTTAGTTTGGGGCCAGGGAACTGGCTTCGCCGGAGTGAGAGCACATGCACAATGAACTCCACGACGCCCGCATGTGCTGGCAGGGGTCAAATGAGACCTGCAACCTCCTTGCCACATATTGCCAGGGGTATCGCTCCACTTCCTTCACCATCAACACCTCGTGGGCCGTGCCTGCTTGTGGCTCTTCGTCCCGTAAACCTGGAACAGGAGCGTCAGACCTTTTTTCATTCTAACTATCAATATGAGCCCCAGTTTGAGTATGCCTCCCCAGAGCCTGTCAGTGTTTTGGAGAAGTACAGAGAGGGATCCAGTCTCTTTCTGTCCCAGGTATGTTTTATATCGAAAATACACAAGTTTAGGTCCAGTGAGCCACCTTACTGTCAGTGTCAACTGCAGTCACATTTAAGTTCTGTGCATTTTCATGAAAAATCAAATTATTTCAATAAGAAAACATGAGTGGGAACACTCCCCTTATTTAGATATGCTGTTTCGCCACGTTGACTAACAGAAAGCAGCTTGGTTTGAAAGAGGCTTCTGTGTGAGCAGTGCTTCATACATTACTACAGTACTGACAATAGACAATGGACCCTTTTTGCCCACTCATTTTTACAGATGTTTCAATAAAGTGACTGCACCTTAAGGTAGCATCTTAACGGAAATAGAAACCTCATAAGTGACCGATTTGGAACACTCTATGTAGGGAGCAACTCTGTGTGCCATATAAATAGCGCATGAGAGACTCCAATTACAGTTGATTTGTGTAGAGTTTACATGTTTGCACGTTGCAAAGCTAATGATGCAATATTCTAATAAGCTTGAAATTATCCAAGTAAAATACTGAATTTTTAATGAGCTTTAACCATTTTTATCTATAATTTCTACAGTCGTGGCCAAAAGTTTTGGCAGTGACATAAATTTTGTGTTTTGCAAAGTTTGCTGCTTAAGCTGTTGTGGTGTTCCTTCACATTGTTTCTAGATTATTGTGTAGAGTGAACAGATGCATGAAAATCGATTGTTCGGAGAAGAAAAGGTGAACGCTGTCCTGTGTCCTGTGTTGTGCCAACAGTGAAGCATCCTGAGACCATCCATGTGTGGGGTTGCTTTTCAACCAAGGGAGTGGGCTCTCTCATAATTCTGCCCAAAAACACTGCCAGGAATAAAGAATGGTATCAAAACGTCCTGCAAGAGCGACTTCTTGCAACGGTCCATGAGCAATTTGGTGATGATCCATGCATTTTCCAGCATGATGGAGCAACATGTCACAAAGCAAGTGTGATGAAAAAGTGATCATTACATTGAAATTTTGGATCAGTGGCCAGGCAAACTGACCTGTGGTCAGTCCTCAAAAGGCGAGTTGACAAACAGAAGCCCACAAATTGTGATCAACTCCGAGAACTAATAAGGAAATAATGGATCGCCATTAGTCAGGATTTGGTTCAGAAGCTAATATCCATCATGCCAGAGCGAATTGCAGAGGTTATGAAGAACAAGGGTCAACACTGTAAATATTGACTCATTATATATTTTTTGCCAATAAAAGCCTTTAAAACTTATGATATGCTTATCATTGTTTTTCAGTATACCATAGAAACATGTGGGAAAATAATCTACAAATACTGAAACAGAAAACTTTGCAAAACACAAAATGTATGTCACTGCCAAAAATTTTGGCCATGACTGTACATCAAGACTGTTTTTTTTTTATTTTATTGTTTTAATTTTAATTAATTAGAATACCCCTGTTTGGAATATAGCCATAATGCTGTTTAAAGGCCTGTTCACACCAAGGACGATAACTGTAAAGATAACGATAAAGATATAGTTCTAAAAATCATTCTCAATATTAAAGAATAGCAGAGCCAACACCAAAACTATAACGATAAAGAGAAACGATATATTTGGAATCACTTACAAAATGATTTTTCTACAGCTGATGAACGTTAAAAAACTGACAGCCAATCAGAATCCATCCTGCTGTAACGAGCTTGTGAATTTAAAGCGGCAGACGAGCGTGCTCTTAAGGCCCGTTCACACCAAGGACGATAATTATAAAGATAATGATAAAGATATAGTTCTAAAAATCGTTCACAGTATTAAAGAATAGCAGAGTCCACACCACAACTATAACGATAAAGAGAAAAGATATCGTTGGAATCACTTTCAAACCGATTTTTCTCCAGCTGATGAACGATAAAAAATTGACAGCCAATCAGAATCCATCCTGCTGTAACAACCTTGAGAATTTAAAGCGCCAGACGATTGTGCACTTAAGCCCCGTTCACACCAAGAACGATAACTATAAAGATAACCATAAAGATAATGATATTAGCGACCACACCAGCGAACGATATAGTCTGTTTATTTTTAAGCGCCCAGTCGTCTGCCGCTTTAAATTCTCAAGGTTGTTACAGCAGGATTCTGATTGGCTGTCAATTTTTTATCGTTCATCAGCTGGAGAAAATTCTTTTTGAAAGTGATTCCAATTATATCGTTTCTCTTTGTCTTTATCGTTGTGGTGTGGACTCTGCTTTTCTTTAATATTGAGAACGATTTTTAGAACTATATCTTTATCGTTATCTTTATAGTTATCGTTCTTGGTGTGAACGGGGCTTTAGAATAAACAGACGATATTGTTCGCTGGTGTGGACGCTAATATCGTTATCTTTATAGTTATCGTTCTTGGTGTGAACCGGGCTTAAGTCCTGAAACTGTTGCCATTTGTCTCACCTCATGCCTCTTTCTAGGCAGTTGGGATTATGGAGTGTGTGCTGAGGAAGTATGAGACCTATGAAAACTTTGAAGAAGTCACAGGGGGCAGCTTGCTACCTAAGAGTCAAGTGTGGGCAGCCACACGCAAGTACCTACAGAAGGAGGGCTGTGTTGGTGAGGTGTGTGGATATCCCAGTTCAAGTGTCTGTGCATTAGTGTTTTGAAAAATAACAAAGAAATTTGTTAGCAATCTCGGATTCTGTCACCAGGTGGTTGTAAGTCTCTCCGATGAGCTTCTGTCCCAGGCAGTAATGATGGTGGAGAGATGTCGACCAACACTAACTATTAACTTGTCAGGAGCACGGCAACACTGGCTTGAGGGCATGCTTAGACACGAGATTGGTATGAACTTTAACACTCTTCAAATTATATATCAAACACTAATACTAAACCGATTTGTTTTGTCCTAACCAGTCCGACTGTGACAAGTGACATTTTTTTTTAAAGACATTTCATTCGTATTGCTGTTGTGTAGTTCAAGGTAGCCCTACATATAGTAAAATCTAATTGGTACAAATCCTGCTTGACATAAGAGAGTGCTGCTGTGAAGATGTTTTTTTTTTTTTGTAGGCCAGCCCAGATAGCATTACCCGAGGTTTCCTTGACTAATACCCAATAGGATGTTCCACTGACTTTTGGATTATGGCAGAAAATAAGCTCTGTGACCAACAAAAGTTTATGATTTATACACGTAAAAGCTAAATGTGACCCTGGACCACAACACCAGTCATAAGTTGCACGGGTATATTTGTAGCAATAGCCACAAATACATTGCATGGGTCAAAATAATAGATTTTTCTTTTATGCCAAAAACCATTTGGATATTAAGTATAGATCATGTTCCATTAAGATATTTTGTACATTGATAAATATATCAAAACTTGATTTTTGATTAAAAATATGCATTGCTATGAACTTCATTTGGACCACTTTAAAGGCGATTTTCTCAATATTTAGATTTTTTGCACCCTCAGATTGCAGAATTTCAAATAGTTGTATCTTGGCTAGATATTGTCTTATCCTAACAAACCATACATCAATGGAAAGCTTATTTATTCAGCTTTCAAATTGATGTATAAATCTGAATTTAAAAAAATTGACCCCTATGACTGGTTTTGCGGTTCAGGGTCACAAATGTAGGCTATAAACAAACTACACCACATTTGCTAGACTTCAATGTCACTACCATTAAGCCTCCGACAGCTCTTTAAGTCTTTATCTAAAAAACCATTTCCCTCAAAATATAAGTTAGCAAGAATGTGATGATAAGAGTAGGGCTGCACGATGAATCGAAATGGGATCGCGATTTGACAGAAGCTGCGATTGTCATGCGTATCTTTCAGTGAAGCACGGTTCTGTGATCAGCAGTAAATCTCCATCCAAAGGTCAGAGGGCGCTCTCGCGCTGAAACTCCAAATACGCCTCGCAGAAGAAACCCAGGAAATGCCTATTGCTGCAGCTGAATAAACAGAAGATTCAGCTGCTTTCATTGATTCAACGTGACTAATAAACACACGATTATGACAATATATGGTTTATCTGAGTTATTATTATTATCATTTTCATTAAAATAAAGTATATTTGTAATGCAATGCCTTTATCACTGCTTAGATACTATGAAATATGTTGCGTGCCTTATTCTGTGTAAGAAGCCACATCATCTCACAGAAGGATTTATTTCAAACACTCGACTGACGTTATGAAGTGAGTTTGGAGTAAAAATATGTTATTAAATGTGGTATTTTCACATGCTTTCAGATGGAGCAGCATTTACTTCACAGAGCCGTAGTTCACTGAGAAGCTATGCAACAGCTGTCATTATCGCAAACAATTTCTTCGATTTCATAATTGCGCAATAAAATCTATTTTTTTTGTGTAACTTGTCAGTGAACTACGGCTATGTGTAGTAAATGCTGCTCCATCTGAAAGCACGTGATGATGATTTCCTGCTGATTACAGAACCAGCATTACTATCAAAATGCGCATGACAATCGCATTCGATTAATCGTGCAGCCCTATCACAGAGGCTGTGAAAGCAGACTAGGGAGTAGTTTCCAGTTTAGCAAAATGATGTTTAATGTCCCCGAGGACATCTGTAGTCCCATTTAGCTACTGTTACTACTAGGGCTGTCAAAAAAATTCTTATTTTGAATATTTGTCGAATTTAAAATAAAAATCCACATTCGAATGCAAAAACGTTGCATTATGGCAGAAAATAAGCTCTGTGACCAACAACCAACGAATGCAAAAACATTGCATTCGAATTTTAGGTGTGCGTTAAGGAGGCAGCCTTATCAGTCGCACGAGATGCGATGACGATGTAAGTGTCATTGCATTTTAATGTTTATGTTAACAATATGCACTTTTTTTCACAGATAGTCGTGTTACCTGATGCTTTGAATAAACATGCATTAATAATATTTTGCTCGATGCACCCTCTTGTGGCCTCAGGAGAGAAGCCAAACGCTTTTCTTCACCCTAGCTGAAATTATGCATTTTAAATTCGAATATAATTCCTTCAATATCACTTATGTTCTGATTGGCTGTCAATGTGTCACATTGTGTAGCATTTTTGCATTTGGTCTCGGTGGGCAAAGCACTTGTTTTTGCTGGGTCACAGCTGGTTAGGACATTGATCTTGCTATACAAGAAATATTGTATTCTATTGACATTCTTCTGGTTGAATCTAGTTGATAGCTGACCATTCTTGATGTTAATTTTATAGTCTTTTGTCTACAAATCCTGCCCTTCCAGCAATTATATGACTTTCACTCCCAGGCACACATTACTTACGGGGTGTGAATAACAGCATGCAGCCATGGGCCACTTCTGTTGGGAGAAAGCAGTTTGGACTGAAACCAGCTAATCCTACTGAAGAGGGGCTTGCTAGTCTTCACAGTGTGTTGCTACGGAAACAGCCCTTCCTGTGGCGAGCCGCTCTGCTATACTATACGGTATACCATGCCACAAACATGAGCTTCAGCCAACTGTTCAGCCATATTGCTCGCTTTGTCCAAGATCCTGCTGTACGCTGGGAATACTGCCTCCGCGCTAAACGAGGACAGACAGATACCTCGAAACCAGGTGAACTAATCGCTAAGAATAGAACTGAGAAACATTTCTAATATGTGATGTGTCATTTTATTATGTTGACTTGAGAAAGCCAGCATTCTCTGATCTATCTATCACTATAAAAGCCTAGCACCTGATTGAGACGCACCCATATCTGAAACATGTTAAAGCTAGCAACCATACCAACAACATGCTAAGACATGTCAGAATGTTAATGTGTCATGAAACCCTAAAACACATTTTTTAAAATGTTAACATATATGAACAGGTTGCACATCAGTAAAAACAACTTCAGCACTCATTATGTCTATTATTAAGGCAAAAGTGGTTATTTTTTCATTTTTTTTAAAGCAATTTTGTTCTTCCGGTTCAAAAAGCAAAGTTGAGCCTGCGTCACGAAAAGTGACGTATATGCGTTAATCTGGAGTGGTGATTGACTGCCGTGACTGGAGAGTACACGTCTACGCAAGGCCGCAACCATGTCTTGAACATTGGGGGGTATCAACTTACATATACACTGCCGTTCAAAAGTTTGGGATCAGTACGTTTTTTAAAGAAGTTTCTTTCATCAAGGCTGCATTTATTTGATCAAAAATACAAAAAAACCCCCGTCATTTTGTGAAATATTATTGCAATTTAAAATAACAGTTTTATATTTTAATAAACTTTAAAATATAATTTATTCCTGTGAAACAAAGGTGAATTTTCAAGCATGATTACTCCAGTCTTCCTTCAGAAATCATTCTAATATGCAGATTTATAATCAATGTTGGAAACAGTTGTGCTGCTTCATTTTTTGGGGGGGTCCTGTGATACTTTTTTTTTCAGGATTCATTGATAAATGAAAAGTTAAAAAGAACAGTGTTTATTCAAAATATAAATTTTGTGCTACAATTTACACTACTATTCAAAAGTTCGGGGTCAGTAAATTTTCTTTCTTTTTTTTAAAGAAATTAATACTTTTATTCAGCAAGGATGTGTTAAATGGATAAAAAGTGATAGTAAAGACATACATTGTTAGAAAACATTAGTATTTTGAATAAATGCTATTCTTTTTATCCTTTTATTCATCAAAGAATCAAAAAAGAAATATCACAGGTTCCAAAAAAAAAAAAGATTAAGCAGCACAACAGTTTCAACACTGTTAATAAATCAGCATATTAGAATGATTTCTGAAAAATCATGTGACACTGAAGACTGGAGTAATGATGCTGAAAATTCAGCGCTGCGTCACAGAAATAAATTTTATTTTAAACTATATTAAATTAGGAAACCAATATTTAATATTTCACAATATTACTGGTTTATTTCTTTATTTTTGATCAAATAAATACTGCCTTGATGAGCATAAGAGACTCCAGTAAATATCATTAAAAATCTTAACTGATTTTTAACGGTAGCCTATATATAAAAAGCTATATTAATGCGCCACTGGGCTCGAGCCACATATTTTTAAATGTGAACCGGTGGATCGACAAGAAGCTAATGCATTATAAAAATCTAAACAATTAAGACACTAAGATATATTTATATGCTATATAATATAATAGCCTAATTGATTGATAATTGTTTAAATTAATATAATAATTGATACTTTTGACTCATCCCTTTTTTTTAAGACAGATCCCTTTTTTAAAGTCTTAAAAAGGTCTTTAAAGGTCTTAAATTTGATTTTAAAAATACTGCAGATACCTGGCTTTATTATGGTACCATTTGGAATAACTGTCTTTTGAATAAGCCCTTTTTAACTGTCCTCTCATGTCGTTTTGAGAATGTTCTATAGGCAACTAATAAAAAATAGGACCTCTGTACATTTATTTGTTGCAAATTTACAGACAATGCAATTGAGATGTTTTTATTGGCTTGTTGGGGTAATATTGCTGTCAACTGACAACAAAGTTCCCCTTCTGAACTAGCATAACTGCACAAGTTTTATAGTTAATAAAATCTTTAGAAACAAATTACATTTTTTATACTTTAATTTCCTTCAATAAAAAGGAAATTTATTAAGACGATGTGTAAAAGGTGTGTGGACGTGGAATATATGTTTATATATGTATATATGTTTTTTGCATATGTGTGTGTATACAGGTTGCTTCAGTAAAGATCAGGTCTACCTTAATGGAATTTTAAGGATTTTACGCCACAGGAGAAACATTGATTTTAAGATATTAACCGCTCTTGGCAAGGCAGGTCCTATTCACACTCATGTTTTTAAAGTAATATTATTTTTTTTCAGTGAATCTATTCCGTTAATAATGAATATACATACCAATGTATGTAATTCCTGTTTTTAGGTTTCCTATGAAGATGTGGACAGACTTCGGCATTTGGCTGTTCTAAATGGAACTAGGATTCCTCACTTCATGCAGGATGAAGAACGTTATCTTCAACACCTTGACCACATTGTCACAGTGAATGAACTGAGCGATGCAGAGCTTCAAGAGCTCATTCCATGAAGAGTTGCAAAAAAAGTATCAAAACCATTCAGTTTTTCCAGGCCAAAAAAACGGTGTCTGCAAAATTGTGATTTTACAAGCAACTGGTTGATATAATTTCGGATGGTTTTTCATGAAAACGTGATCCATGATGATCATCCATAAAAAGTATTACAAACAGCATCCAATGATTGATGTGGTAATTTGCTACATTAAGTGCCATACTCGGTAAGTCTGTTTACAAATACAATGATTGTCTGTTTTAAAACCATATGACTCTCAGGCATGAAAGACATGTTTGGATTCTTGCAAACCCAAGGTATGTTCGGAATGGCATACTACCATACGCATACCATTTTTTAAAATATACTGTGCACAGTATGCAAATATTCTGAATACGTCATGAATTATGTCGTACATTATGCCAAAGTGTGCAGTACTGTAATGCAGTGGGCTTGACTTGACCTTGTGTTTCCAGTGTTACGACTGAACCAAAAGCAGTATCAACTGTCATTTCTCTCTCAACTGATTAGCTGATCAGACTGAACAAAATAAGAAATGCAAAATAGTTGTAATTATTTCAGAGTTGACAATTGGATGTCGTATGGATTTTAACATGCATCGTAGACAACAGAAAATTGCTTAGTATACTGTTTTTAATCAACTACATTGTATGCGGTACAGTAGTATTCCATTCCTAACACCACCATATTCACGAGAAGCTGAAAGATGGTCATGTAGCATTTTAACTGCACTCATAATGTAATGGGCACATCCCATCATGCTAATTAATGATATCACACACAAGGCAGAGCTATTCGAGTACTAAATCAAATGAATTCCCGGTTGAAAAAAACAGCATATGCTGGTTAGGTATGTTTTGACGCTGGGATGCTGTACCAGCAAAGGACCAGCTTAAACCAGCATCCCAGCGTCAAAACATACCTAACCAGCATATGCTGTTTTTTTCTACAGGGTTACCATGGCAGTATTTATATGAGGTTTCACACGTGAACCTATGAACACTTCATATAGTGTTCTACTTGTCTATCAATTTCTCTATTATTTATTTATTATTTGTTTACCTCTTGTATTCACGTTAAACACGGAATGTCTGTGGTATTAGCTTTATACACAAGTAGCAAATGCATTTTTTCTTTAACTTAGTATAGCAAGCAATGCAAAAAGACACCAAGGCTGACTCGGTTTAATGAAGTGTTCGTTGAGAATCTGATGAAAAAGGAAATTACACTAATGAAAAAAATTGCCCCCTTTGGCACAGTTTTTTCCTCATCAGGGCTTATGAAATGCTAGTACTCTATCTAGAGATAATCAGTGTTCTTCTGAGCGCACCCTTGGTGGTCTTTATTACCTGTGCTAATGTGATGTGACACCTCTGTAGGAGAGATTGCATCTGAATCGGGAGAGAAATATGCATGGATCAAGCAGAGTTTACAAGAGAAAAGTTTAAAACAAGTTTAAACGCGACAAAGATGGATTTGTTTATTACAAACAGCTTTTCACTTCACAAGACTTTGATGCTCTGGAGTCATGTGTATTTTATCAACTGTTGGGACTCTCATTCTGACGGCACCCATTTACTTTAGAGGATCCATTTGTGAGCAAATGATGTAAAGCTTCTCAAAACATGCTCAGACAAAGAAAAAAAATCTCATCAACAAATTTTGTATTCCTTTAAATAGTCACTGTATCTTAATATATTTTATGTATGAATTATTAAAAATATCTTAATATTTCTATTCATTAAATTGACAAATTCATAACTAAAAGTAATTCATAATATGAATATATTTGTCTTTCACATTTTCATTCACAGCTGATTATCACTAATGACTCGCACTGAAAATGGTGGTGAAAAAACATGAGACGGATTAAAAACAGTTTCATTTAATATATCTTATTTTCAATAAATTGCAGTAAAGCCTCCATACCTGACAATACTATAGTTTATAATCTGAGCTCATATCAGCAGGGCAAGTCATTGAACAACACAATCTTCCAGTACATAACGTAACCAGGATCGGGAGCCCCCATCAGTCATCAACAGCCTGAGAATCATGGGGAAAGAGCAGGCATTCTTTCCCAGTCATAATATCATAGCTTAATTCAGTGTTGTTCCAAAAATTAAATGGAGATGTCCAACTCAAAAGGGGGGAGATGGGGGAATAACACCAGTTGGGTACCTAGATAATGATGGCAAGCAGCACTAATACAAAGTGAATGTAGGAGAGGGACTACAGCCCGTTGTGTTCATTCTGTACAAGTCTTGTGTTGCTTAATAACTTCTTGCTCCAGTAAACTGAAGCTTCACACCTGAAAGGCAGCATGTCTCTGCACGACACGTTGAGGTAAAAAGGTTTTCCTAGAGGAAAGATTTAAAAGCATGAATGAAATTATTAAAGACAATGAAATCATTTTAGACAAGTCCAAAATACAGCGTATTGACTTTGTGACATCCTGTACCTGCTTTTAGCCCATCATGTTGTGGTTGAGCTGCTTATTGCCAGTGCACCTTCTGAGTTTGACAGAGGCTGTCCCTTCAGCACAGGATCTACAGAGGAATGTCAGATGCCATGTCATATGATTTCACTTAGAGAGGATGCAAAACCTTGGAATTATTAAGATTGTTTGGTAACACTTTACTTAAAGCCTTTATGTATAATGCAATATAAAGGTAGTTTTAATGCATTAATTATGCCTTGTAATGCTCCTTATAATGCATTGTACAATCTCACGAATACTTGTAACCATAGTTAATACATTATAACACATCAATTCATTGTTACATTATGCATTTTAAATTTGGTTATAATTATTTACGACCACATATAATGTATTACATCACGCATCATGAATAATTATAATGCATTATACACTTTAATAACCCTTTATACAGCATTATACATAAATAAAGTATGGATGCACCGAAATGAAAATTCTTTGCCGAAGCCGAACAAAATGAAACACTGGGCCGAAGGCCAAATATCGAACACGTTTTTTTGCGTTTTTTCCCCCCCATGTATTTTGCCAATTGTTTTCACCATTGCATAAATTTAAAGGGGTCATATGATGTTGCTAAAAAGAACATTATTTGAACATTATTTGGTGTAATGAAATGGGTTTATGCGTTTTAAGGTTCAAAAAAACATTTTCCACATACTGTACATTATTGTTTCTCCTCTATGCCCCGCCTTTCTGAAACACGTCGATTTTTACAAAGCTCATCGGTCTGAAAAGCGAGCCGTGTTCTGATTGGCCCGCTATCCAGTGCGTTGTGATTGGCCGAATACCTCAAGCGTGTGACGGAAATGTTACGCCCCTTACCATATTGTGATGATGCCCTGTCAGGCCGGAGCGATGATTCAAATGGGCTAGAGTGAGCGGAGGCCGGCGGCTTGAGAATGGCGCGGCCGGGGGATTCGACGAAGGAGCGTCCGGAGGGCTTGCAGCAACCACATGTGACGACCCTGGGC